ATATATATATTTTTAAATAAGGACCGTCATAATACATTGTTTAGATGTAGGATAGATAGACTTAGTTTGGAGAAGTGTCGAGTGGCCAAATGAAAGTTCCCGTAAAGACTGGAGGAAGGGAGGCTCTTTCTCAATTGTGAAAGGAGAGACAGAACCAGAAATTCGAGTGTTGTTGGTGTCTGCTTCTTTCTGCAGTTGACGCCATCAAAATAGATATAGGAAAAAGCTTAGTGATTAATTTGAGCTTTGAATGATTAGATTTAGCCTTGGCTGATGATACGTTGGAAAGATGTTAGTACGTACATTAGAAGAAGAAAGGATAGAGAATCTGAGATCTTTGAAATCTTCATCTTGCTTTAAAAAATCTGTTTGGAGTTGTAGTGGCCGGTCATTTAAATAAATAACAAGTAAATATATATGATTTTTTTATTAATTATTTTAATCTTTTACAAGGTTTTAATAAGAAATATTAATATATAGTCAATTTATAAAATTTATAATTATATATATTAAATGCCCATTAGACTCCCTTCATGACTCTTTACTTTCGTCACATTTAAATTTTTTAATGTCTTTTAATATTTTTATTTTTTTATAAATAGATTACTTGTCTTGTATTTTAAATATAAAAAAATATATAAAAAATGTATGAATTTCTCTTTTAATTTTTTATTCTGAACACAAGGATTTACTTAATCTTTATTTTTTAAAGCAATTTTATAGTTTTATACTGAATTTTTGTAATTATATGCACGTGTATTCCACCTTTCACATTATTTATTGGCATCGTGCTGCTGCACCGTTTACTAAACAGGATCCTATAAAAAAATCCCCATCATGTGCTTCCTGACCATAATGCAAATCTGGAAAAACTCAAAGGGTAACGTGATTGCTTATATTTTATTTATGAGTCTACACCTAAGAAAAGTATTTTATTCAAATCAAATTATTTTATTAAATATATTTGTTAATCTTGTTTATGAATCCTATTTATGATATCTTTGAAATGTGCTATGTAATTGAAACTGAGATTGAACATGGAAATTATCCTCCTTTTACACCTCGGCCTGTTTTTCTCCCTCATTTAAAAAACTTAAAAAATTAATTATTAATTTAAGCATAAAAATTTGTGATTAAAATAAAAACGATAAAAAAATAAAAACAATGAAACAATTGAGAGTTAATATTTTTGTAAAGTTTATTGGTTGCTGCCAGATTAATTAGAAATACATAAGTCTTTTCATATTTTTAAAATATAGTGAAATTACAAATTACCTTTGAAAGCACATTTTTTTTAATCGGTGTCCAAAGAATACTTTTTTATATTTTATTTTGATTTTTCAGTTATAATTAAGTTGATTAATGAATAACTTTATATTTTAATAAATATAAAATATAATTAAAAAGACAAAAGGGGCTATATATATACTAGAAAGTGGGTGATATCGTGGAGCATGCTACATCTTTTGGCGGCCAAGAATTTCCTGCTACCATGTCGTTGGAATATGCAAGTCTTTTTTTTTTTTTTGTTTAATGGTGGTGCATGGTTTTGATGGTGAAACTATTTATCATTAGATATGGTTTCTCTCTCTCTTTTCTTTTTAAAATTCAAGTTGACTATTCCATATTTTAAAGTTATTATTTTATTTATTGATATTTTAACTTTAATTTTTATTTTATTAATTTTTTTGGTTTTTTTATAAAATTTTAATGTATTTTCAACTTCATTCTTTAATTATAATTTGCAATATGTTTTTTTTTCAAATGTCCTTGTTCATTTGATTGTTGTTTTTTGTTTTTTTTTTATTAAATTGATTTTTCTTTTTAATTTCATCATTTAATAAAAAATTGTTAGTTATCCTCTATTTTTTATTTCAATTTTGATGTTCATTCTTTTAATTGCTATTTTTTTTTGTTTTGGATCCCTATTTATAATTATTAATTTTTATAATTTTATCATTTAACATTTAATTGGTTGGAAATTGTGTTTCATGGTTTTTTTAGATAGGGTACTTCTGATTTAATGATTCGGGTCACAAGTTTAAAAAAATAACGCTAAATAACATTGCTTTTATGAACTTATTTTTTTATTTCACCATTCAACATTATTTTTTTTATAAAAAAAAGCTTTGTGGTCTCTCTATTTTTTTTTATATCAGGTTATCATAATATCATAATTTAGGTAGTGGATTGGACAAATTAACCTGATTTGACTCTGATATTTTTATACGACTATTTATTTGTTAAATGAAACTTTATTTTTTTCATCCTTCAAAATCCAATTCTTTTATAAATTAATCTTTAAAATTTTTCATGTTTTGGATTTTATTGGTTTATTACATTTGCATGATTCGGGTTATAAGGTTAGTTATCTTACTTGATTTTGATCTTTTAGGTTCCTTTTCTTTGTTGATTTTTTTCCAGTTTCATCCTTCAACAGTTGATTTGCTGAGAATTGAATTTTATAATTTTTTTTTCTATTTACTTTTTATTAGATTATCCCGCTCTTATTACTCAGGTTAAAGGTTTGTCATGCTAATTTGAGTTGACTCAAGCTTCTTCTTTTTTTTTAATTATTTTGATTTAATTTCATCTTTAGTATTTTAACTTGCTTTCTATAATTTTTTTTGATAATTTTAAAAATGACCTGGATTATCTCAAGTGTTTTTATTTATCATTCTTTGTTAAATTTAGTTTTTTTTTAAAAGATATTTTGTTTGTGAATTAAATTAAATTATTTAATTAAATATAAGCACAAGATACTTATTTCATAATATTTTATTTGGATTCATAATGTTTTTGAATTTATTTTCTACGTGGCAATCTCGAATTTAAAACTTAGGTTATGAATTTGGAAGATTAATATCGGTTGACTTACCTTTTTTTTTGGATTTTTTTCTATAATTAATTTTTTTAATTATATTCTTTAATATTGAATATTATATAAATTAGATTTCATTATTTTTTTCTCATTCATTTTTATTTTAACAAAAATAACTATTATTTTAGATTTAATTATTAGATTAGACAAAACTCAAATTTAATCAGGAATTTGAGTTGAAAATGTATCTAACAGTAATTAGTTGGGGTCACGAAGGTCTTCAATTTAGACCTAGAAAATCATGTTTTTTTTTAAAAAAATTATCTTAGTTAATTTTGAATTTTAATTATTTTTCTTAACTTCAGATTCTTTTGAATACATCATTTTTTATAGATAGTTGGTATGCTATATTTTTATCAAATTAATTAATTCAAGGACTTTTTAACAAATATTATAATTTTCATTTAATTAATTGCTGTACCGTTTAGGACTGTAACCTCTAAGACTGGGAACCTAAATCTTTATCACACTATACTCTGTGTCAACACACACACACACATTTCGAGGTGACAATTTTATAATATCAATTTATTGTTTTATATTGCATTTTTCCCACCTTTCATTCTATTTATTTGCATCGTGCTGCTGCACTGTGTACTAAACATGATCCTATAAAAACTTCCCATGATGTGCCTCTTGACCGGAATGAAAATCCGGAAAAACTCAATGGGTGAACATCTCCATAGGTGTTTTTGTGTTTTTATACACAATAGAATTACATATATGGCCTTAGATCCAAGAAAATTAATTTATTAGGGTTAGGGATATTATGGTCCTATCTCATTTCTTTTTTGTTAATTATTGGTTTGATTGAGGATAATGATGTAATTTAATATTAAAATAATATTTTGAATAGAAAAAACCTGTTGGTGTGTTGGAGCTTCTACATACTTTGAACGACGTGTGTGTTGGTTACGTATGAAAAAAAAAAGGGTTCTCACCATATCATTTATTCCTCATCGTTTCCTTTTTCATAATGAGTGGCATGTGTAATCAAAATATGTTGGTTTCTTGTTGGTGACCCTTTCTTCCCCTCTTTTTGTTTCTTTTTCCTAACCCTAGAAAAGCACCATGATCCTCATTGTTCTTGGTATTTCAGATTCAGTTACTTTAGTTTTAATTTTAATTTTACTTTTGTTGTTATTTTTTTATTAAAGTTTTATTTGTTTTCAATTTAATTATTAATTTCTAATTTGTATAAATAATATGCTTTGATTAGGTCCTTTTGCTTTATTTTTCTTATTTCTTTCTTTGTTTTTTTGTAAAAGTTTTTATTAATTTTAATTTTACCCTTCAAATCAAGTTTATGATTTTTTATTTTTTAATGATAATAATAATAATTTCAATCTAGTTCCTTTTCTTTTGATTTTTGTCCTTTTGTCTTGGTTTTTTTGTCAAAATTTTTATAATTTTTAATTCTATTCTTCAAATCAAGTTTATAATTTTTATTTTTTTAGTAGTAGTAGTAGTAGTAAAAATAATAACAATAACTTTAGTAATAATAGAAATAATAATAATAGTGATGATATTACTTAATAATAATAATAATGATTTTAATTTTAATTTTTTGAATTGTTATTTTTTCAATACTTTTGTTATATAATTGATTTTTTTAATTTTATTATTTAATATTTTATTTATTAAAAATTAAACTTCATAATTTTTCTCAATTAGATATATTTAATCTAATTACTCGGGAATTTTCTCAATTAAATATGTTTAATCTAATTACTCGGAGTTTAACAAACTATATTTTTATAAGGCTTTATAATACATATTATTTTGTCAGATTATCATATAATTTCAACCATGAATCTGAAAGATACTCTAATCAGACTTATTATATATTTTTCCTAAATAGTTTTTTTTAATGTTTTTAATCTCATTTTAATCTCATTTTATAAAAAAACAATCCAGCCCGACAACTTGAAGCCTGATCGACAAAATAATGGTGTAATGATAGACATACGACCAAAATATCAACTAAATTAACCACTCTGTTTTTTGTTGTTTTTTTAATAAGTTGACCACGTCATGTGGAAAAAATGAATCCGATCGAGAGTTTGCAGGTATCTTCCTCACATAAACTTTATGATATATATATATATATGTATGTATGTATGTATTAGTTGAAGACAAAGCATTTATTTGATACAGAAGCTCAAATCACAAGATCAATAGAAGAGGAAAATTAATGGAGACTGGCCCTCCGAGATTAGACTTTAAACTCTCTTGCCATGATGATGAGACAGTGGGCGACGAGCTTGAACAAATACTAACAGATACTGAAGCACCATATTTTAAGAGAATCCGTTCAGCTTCCTGGGTTGAACTGAAATTGCTTCTCCACCTTGCAGCTCCAGCTGTGATAGATTACTTGCTCAATAATGTTGTTTCCATGTCTACTCAGATCTTTTGTGGTCACCTTGGAAATCTTGAGCTTGCTGCTGTCTCTCTTGGTAACAATGGTATCCAAGTTTTCGCCTATGGCCTTATGGTAATACGTCCTGATCTCTGTCTGCTCTTTCTCATATATTTCATGGATGGTCATGATCATTCTGTCTTCTTTTCATCTCTTTCTTTTGTTTATTCCTTTCCTTCTTACCCTTTTAAACTTTAGTATGGATTTGGAAGTAGTGTTTTTTTTTTTTTTGGGGGGGAAGTCTTTAGGCCAAAAAAGAACTTCATGCATAATCCTCCATCGGTTTGTCTTTCCAGTTATCTAATTTCTTTCTTTATACTTCTTGTTTTTTATTTCTATATCAAGTGGAGAATTCTCCTCTACTTTAGCTAAGAAGTTTTTGTCTTGTTGCAGCTTGGTATGGGAAGTGCAGTAGAAACTCTGTGTGGCCAAGCATATGGAGCAAATAGACATGAAATGCTAGGCATATACCTCCAAAGATCAGCTGTTCTCCTCATGGCAACAGGGATCCCCTTAATGATGATCTATATATTTTCCAAACCTATCCTGATCTTACTTGGGGAGCCAGTCAATATAGCATCAGCAGCTGCGGTTTTTGTCTTTGGACTCATCCCTCAAATTTTCGCTTATGCTGCCAACTTCCCTATTCAAAAATTCTTGCAAGCACAAAGCATAATCGCACCTAGTGCGTACATATCACTAGGTGCACTTGTGGTGCATGTTTTGCTCACCTGGCTTGCAGTCTTCAAATGGAACTGGGGCTTACTAGGAGCAGGTCTTGTGTTGAGTTTATCTTGGTGGATCATTGTGGTGGCTCAGTTTGTGTACATCCTCATGAGCAAGAAGTGTAGAAACACATGGAAAGGATTTAGCGTGGAGGCCTTTAGTGGGCTTTGGAGCTTCTTCAAACTGTCTGCTGCATCAGCAGTAATGTTATGTTTAGAGACTTGGTACTTCCAGATTTTAGTCCTGATTGCTGGATTGCTTGAAAATGCTGAGGTTGCATTAGACTCACTCTCAGTTTGGTAAATAATTTACTAGACTTGGTTCTTATAGAATTTTTATGGTAAAGGTATGGTGCTTTCTTAATGTAATTGTCTTGCTTGTTAACATTATTCATTCGTTTCTTCTTTAATGCAGCATGACAATAAATGTATGGGTTTTCATGATTTCAGTGGGATTCAATGCTGCTGCAAGGTTCGGTCATCTTTGAATACTCTAAAATATTTCCATTATTTACTATTAAAAAAAACTGTGTAAAATATAATTTTTAGTTAAGTCGACTATATATCATTCAATTTAATTTGAAACTCGATCCACAAATCACGACCAGATCACTAGGTTGACTTAATCTTTAACTGGTTTGAAATTATTATGTCTCGCATCATCTTATATATGAACTCTCACAAATATAATTTTAACGTCTACTTGGTCTTAAACAGTGTGAGAGTGAGCAATGAGCTAGGAGCAGGACATCCAAAATCAGCATCATTTTCAGTCCTTGTAGTGACTTCATGCTCATTTATAATTTCAGTAATCGCAGCCATTATTGTGCTGATATTTCGAGACTCCATTAGCTATATCTTCACTGGAGGTGAAGTTGTTGCTAAAGCTGCCTCTGATCTCTCTCCATTCCTTGCTGTTACAATCATACTAAATGGTGTTCAGCCTGTTCTATCTGGTAAGTTCCAAATGCGGCAGGCTCTGACCTCAATCATTGTACAAACGTAGAAACTCACTGCTCTTTTTCTCAGTCATTGTACTGGGATTAGAACCTTTGCTGTTGCCTCATGTCATTGCAACAAATGTGTCTCTCAGGAAAAAAATAATCTTTTATATTTTCACAAGACAAGTAATTGCATGATTCGGAAACCAAGGTAGGTAGCATTGGAATGTTGACAAAATTGAGGAAAGAAGAAGGGAAACTTCAATGGTTGTCATTAATTAGAGCTAAGCTTAAGTGCTGTTCTGTCGTCGAAGATGGAACTTCATGGGGTCTTCATTATGATACATAGCACATATGTTCTCAAATCTAACTGTTTCCTTAAATGTTTTGTGTGCTGAAGGGGTGGCTGTTGGATGTGGATGGCAAGCATTTGTTGCATATGTTAACGTAGGATGCTACTACCTTATTGGTGTTCCACTAGGGGTGCTTCTTGGTTTTACATTTGACCTTGGTGCCAAGGTAATGTATATTATTGCCTTGGTAGACATTTCTGGATTAGTTTTTCCATATTGATATTAAATTTATTTTGTTTTTTATATCATCTCTATTACATTCATCTTATTCCTTTAAAAATCTCTAAAAAAAAATGCATGTATGTATATAAGTATTTTTAAAAGGTTAGTTTTTAAAATTATTTTTTCTAAGTGTAGTAAATCAAATGAGATGACATCTAACTTATTTATTTTATCATTTTAGAGATTGATATCCATTTAAAATTTAATTTTTTATACTCAAAATGATTCTAAATATAATTTTTTTATTAAACCCTCTGAATTAAATTTAATTAATTAAGAACATCAAAATAATCTGGTAAAGATTTTTATCGTGAATGGTTGTGATATAGTCATCGTTTTCTACAGGGTATATGGTCAGGCATGTTGGGGGGCACAGTTTTGCAAACTTTGATTTTGCTGTGGGTCACTTGGAGAACAGACTGGAATAAAGAGGTACACTGTTTAATTATAGAAAAAAACTAAAATGCATGGGGTTTTCAGTGTAGCTCCTCCCTCGCAAGCATGATCCAGGACATAGAACATGGTGTGTCATTTTTTTCAAAAACTTTTTCATAGGTCTACATTAATGGCCGATTTAAATTAATTTCTTGAGAAAGGGCAAGTTTTAAAGTCGGCATGAAAAGTTAGCTTTAGTTCTTCTATTTTTTAATTGATAAATTTTTGATCCTTTTAATTTTAAAATTCTATTTTTATGCATAATTTTATTTTTATTATTTTTTTAATTTTTAATTTAAGAGATAAAAGAGAAATTTATTTAATTTCTACTGAAGACAAAGAAAATCCTAATTAATACCACCATAAATAAGTAAATCTTTATGTGAATGACTTCCTTTTAATGAAGAGAGTTATCTAAGATGATATATGTAAGCAAAATAAGTTGTTTATTTTGGATTTTTATATAATTTTAGGATTATTTGAAATCATAAATGGATTTATCAATATTTTTATAGGATATTTTTAATAAAAAAATAGTTAAAAATAATTTTTTTAATTACTCTTCGGTTACCGAATTCTAGAGATATAAATAATTTGTTGTTTGCCTTTTTTAATTAATAATATAAAAATGAATACTGTTTGATCTTTTATATTCTTTCATGAAATTTTATAGCATTATTTTTTATAATATTATTCAGTGGTTTTTTTCAGCCCTCCACAAATGGTTTTTACCCACGATATAAAAAATAAATTTGACTAAAAAAAATACCTTTTGTTGCTGTAAAAAATATTCTGCTAATAGCTATTTTTTTATTTTAAAAAATATATCTAAACCGCTGCTAAACACTGGTCAATGTACTAGTTATTTCTAATACTGAACGGATTAGTGAAATAGTTTTAATAGACTTGAAGGGTTAAGTTATGATTACCTCAGTCATACTTCCTAGCTTGTTAAGCAAGGTAATTCAGCCTTTTGGGTCGTTGAGGGCGTCCAATTTTTTCTGGTTTTCTCTTCTATACCTTACTCTAAACACAATTTTTTTTTTTAATAATTGAATTATGAAAACAGAAGCACATAATTTTATATTATGTAACTTTCAGGTGGAGGTTGCGAAAAACCGGCTGAGTTCATGGGATGACCGAAGGCAGCCTCTTCTACAGAATTGAATGGATTTTGGGAAGCCTGGGCTTGTGATTTTTAGACTTTGGACACATTAACGCATGAATAGTCTTTTGCCTCAATTATATGTTAATGAGTTTCAAGCTATTTTAAGCACTCTTGGACCCGATCGGTGTCACTCTTATTTTTTCTTTTGTTATATTACATTCTGGTTAGTTTCATATTTGTTATATTGTATTGTTTTATATTGTGAGTTGAAATTAATATTATAAATTTTTTATTAATTTTTCACTGTATTTTTAAAAAACTTGTATGTTTGTCATAACTTAGTTTTTGATTACCCCTTTTTTATATATTTTGAAAAAATAAAAAATAAATCCAAAAAATATCTTTTCAATAATCATTTCTTAGTTAATATTAATATTTTGTCATAACTTAGTTAATATTAATCATTTCTTTATTTTCTTTGTTATTATTTAATTTTAGTGTGTTATAAAGATCTTGAAAATCATAAAATATACAGAAATGAAAAAAATACAAAACAAATGTAGAAATAACAAAAAAATAGTTGGGATTGAGATTGGACCAATAATTAATTATCAGAAGCAAAAATAAAGTTTGAGAATTTTTTAGTCATGATCAAATTTCAATCAGCAATTTACAATAAAAAGGGTTCAATTTGATATAATTTCCTAAGAGTGAAGGAGATTTGAAGTTCAAGAATGATTTTGAAATAAATTGAAAAGTGAAAAGTTGATTGAGGGCTTAATTAAAAAAATTAAAATTAAAAGTCAATTTGGCTTAAAAAAATGAAGGATTGAAGAATTAAAGACTGATATGAGAGGGCACATTGTAATTCAATCAAGGGAAAAATTAATAAAAATTAAGAGAAAGAGTTGAAAATTGACCGAAAATAAGAGAATTGGAAGCCTAGAGACCAAAACACAAAAGATGTTAAAATATAGAGATAAATATTAAGTTTGGCATGATTTGAATTTGGAAAACCTTATTTCAATTAAGGTAAACAAATGATATCATTTCACATAATGTGAAATGATGCATTTTGATCAAAAGCGGGAAGAATAGAGGATAAAGATTGGAATGAAACATCACTCCATGAAAAATCTCCATCTCAATATCTCTATTTAAATCTCTAAATTTTTATATGACATCTCCTTAAATAATACTTTAATAATAAAAAAATTAAAAAAAGGAAGAATAGAGGATGAAGATTGGAATGAAACATCACTCCATGAAAAATCTCCATTGCGAGATTTCTATTAAAATCTCTAAATCTTTATACAACATCTCCTTGAATAATATTTTAACATTAGTTTCATGATTACAAAGTATTTTTTTTAGATAATAATATTCTTTATTGAAACAAGCAAATCAATAAAATCTAATCTTCATTACCAATTTAAACTAATAAGTATTTTCTTCATTCATTTTTGTTTGTTAAAGTCTTCTAAACATGTTTGTTGAAAAGACATAAAAATTATTTTTTACCCCTTTTTTTTAAAACATTTTCAAAATACTTATGATCATTATTAATTAGTCTTAATAGAATTTGATTAATCCTTTATTTTTTCCTTAAGATGGAGAATTGGATGGAATCATTTTTCATGACCAAAGATTCAATTTTATAATCAATATAATCACTTTTCATGTTTTTTTTCTTCTTATTAATGAATAAATATCTTCACTTATATGTCTTTGATATCTTGTATTTCTTGAAAAGTGATTTGATTTATAGGATTTGCTATGATACTTATGAGATCGATTATATTTATTATACGTGTGCAGTGTCGCAATGAATGAGTCCACTCTTGGTATCTGGAAATTAGGAAATGAGGGAGACAAAAATTTCTTATATTATCAGTGGGAAGAAGGAATGAGAATTGCCACCTAGGATTTTGATCATTAGAAACCCGAACTGGTCTCAGAAATCGGGCACGAAGACTAGTTGCGTGAAGTAAAGATATTAGAATTTTAAATATGCTCTATTTAAGATAAACTATATTGTTTACTTGTTTAATATATGCTAAGGTATTGTCATGTTTTCTAATTATTAGTTTATCTAAGGTTTAAGAAAAGTTCTTCTCGATAAAAAGATCCTTATCTTATTGGGTAAAACCTAACTATTCTAATGTCAACAAAAAGAATAACTACCTCTTATTTAATATTAGAAATACACTTCCGTATAAGTTCATAATCTTATATATTAAAAGAAAACAAAATAATTTTTTTGGTATTTTTGAAATATTAGCTTAGTTCTTATGGCTTTAGTAAATTGGTTATTAAAGCAAAAAACACATGCTAGTACAACTTTTTTTTGAATTTTTTTGTTATATGAAAATATGTTATGATTTTTGTACCTTGAGAGACTTGGCTATATGTATGAAAACAAGATATTTTTTTTGCTTTTTCATATAATATTTTTTACAACATTTAGGAGAAAATTAAGTATTTTAATATCAGATTTGTACCTTTACAATATAAAAATACAAACCAATATTAAACAAAATTAATAAAAAAATACATTAAAAAATCAAAAAAAATTTAAAAGGATTTTTCAACTTTTTGGATGCCTTTTTGTTTAATATATAATATAATTTATTATTATATTATAATAAAATACGCTGGGTTGAGCCCGCCCCAATCTTGTGGGCCGAGCCCACCCTGCTTGGGCCGAGTTCAATCTAAAAGGAACTGGATCGACCTTAACCCAAAAGAGGGTTAGGCTGATGCTAGCCCAATAAACATTCCTTTTATATATATATATATATATATATATATATATATATATATGCTGGGATAGATTTGACCCGACTATTTTGGTCTAGGCTGGTACTATCTGGCCTAAAAAATAGTGGAAAAAACTCTTCACTATTCACGTAAATAGTGGAGAATGAGAGTGAATTAATTTACTCTCCACTCTTCACTTACAAAACAGTGAAGAAGAGAACAGTCACGAAAAAGAAGAGGAGTAGAAAGTTGACTTGCGGTGGCTCATGGCTGTGTTAACTGGCGGCGGCGGTAAGTAAAGCAAGTGGTGGTTCGCAATGGTTTCTCCCTTTTTTTTTCTTGCTTGTTTTTTTTCTTCTTCTTTCTATTTTTTTGTTCTCTTTTCCTCCTCTCCTCTCTCGTTTTGGTGTGTTTCTCTCTCTCTCTCTCTCTGTTTTTTTTTTTGTTTCCTTTTGTTTTTTTCTCTTTTCCACCTTTGTTGTTTTTCTTTTCCTCCTCTCTGTTTTCCCTTATTATTTCTTTCTTTTTTCCTCTCTGATTTTCTTCATCTTTTTCTCTGCTTTTCAACTCTCAAATCCCCTTTTTCTCTTCATTTTTCTCCTTGCTCAAAATCCTCTAAAATTTCACCTCTCTCCTCTTTCCTTTGCTTCTCTTGTCTCCTGGTATTTATAAGAGGGAGAGAGAGCTACTACCCCTGTCCAGTCATGGAACATGAATAGGGTAGTTGGGGCGGCCTCTGTACAGTCACCTGCAAGACATGACTTTCACTGTTTTTCCATCATGGGGGTAGGCCATGAGGGGGTGTGGGTTGTGTTGAGTTTTCAGGCAAGTTGGAGGGAGGGAGAGAGAGAGAGAGACAAACGCTGCAAAAGAGGGGAAGGAAAACCTTCTTCCCTGGTCTTTGCGCGTTAGGGAAAGAAGATGGCGTACAATGCCATTTAAAATGACATTGTTTTGTCTGTTTTTTTTTTTTATGAACAATGCATGAAACGATGTTGTTTTGTACAACACACGACTTTTCATTTAAAAGGAAAATGGTGCTAAAAAAATCTAATTTTCAAAGCATTCCTTAATTTTTGATTTGTTCAATCAAGTTCTCAATTGTAATTTTGATTTTGAGAATCAATTCAATTGCATCCCTATCAAATCCAAATGTTAGCCCTAAAGTTAGCAGCTATTTTTATTTTTTTTATTTTGGTCTTTGATCTTAGATTTATGTAATTTAACCTCTAAATGACCATTAAGTTTTTAAAATTCTTCAATTTAGCCCTTGATTCTTATCAATTGGATCCTCAGAGTTTGACGCCATTTATAAAATGGTCATTGACTGAGAATTTCTTCAATTTAACTCTTAATTGACCTTAAAACTTTGATTTTTTTACAATTGAGCTTGTGATTTCAACCAATTCACTTAGTAAAAATTAAATTTGATTTCTTAAAATTTAAATCTTCTCAATTAAGTCAAAATTACACGTCCAAACTTAACTTTTCACTAATTAATCCTTTAATAAAATTAATTTGATCTATTTAAAGGATAATTAAGTCATTGTACTTGATTAAATCCTTCAATTAGATTTAAATTAATTATCAAATATAATTAAACTTTAATTTGACCCATGATTAAATCAAATTGGCCAATTAGAAATTTAATTATGCCATTGAACTCTTGCATGCTTGCAAGTCATCTATCCGTGAACTTTTCACTTGTTTAAGCACAAAATTAGAAATTTAATTATGCCATTGAACTTAATTTCTATGCAAATTCATCTATTAATTATTTAATTTGATATTGAATCTGCATTGTTTCTTCAATCTTGGATACAATAGGGTACAATTTGGCTAGCTGTGATTTTCATCCAAAATTACAATTTGATTTCCCCATATGTTTGAGATCTTCCTTGGTCTGCTTTCTCTGCATCATTAATTTTTATTTTATTATTTGATTTTTTTTGAAAGAAAAAGGAGTGAATTTGGAGAATAATAAAAAAATAAGTTATGATAGTTGTCTCATTTTTATAATACTTATGATAGAGAAAAAACTAGACAATTTCTTCTCCTGATTTTTAAAGGATATTAGGACTTGAAGATGATGAAATTAGGGTTAAGTTCTTTCATAAAAGATGTACTTTGGTATGTTTGCTTTCCAATAATCAAAATAGTAATAATTGGTTTCATTTTTTATGATAATGATATTTTGTGTAAATTAAAACTTGTAAAATTTTAGATAATAATATAAATCATAACATGGTAACTCACTTGCTAGTTTAAGTTATAGAGTTGAACTGATTCATTAACATAATATTATAGCATTGTAGACGAAATAGTTATGAGTTTGAGTTTTACTATCCTTATTTTTTTCTAATTAAATTAAACTATTGAGTCGAAATGGTTCTGTGTATATTTCAAGAAAAAAAAGAATTTTACCTAACAACTTATAAAACTATTG